AGAGATGAGGTCTCGCCAAGTTGCCCAGGCGGGTCTCGAACCCGCGGGCTCAGGCCATCCTCTCACCTCCGCCTCCCAAAGTGCTGGGATTATAGGTGTGAGCCACTGCACCCAGCGCTTCTCTACTTCTAACTGGAACGTTTCTTTCCTTCCTTCCTTTCTTCTTTCTTTTTTTTTTTTTTTTGTCGAGGTCTCACTCTATTGCCCAGGCTAGATTGCGGTGGCAAAATCATAGCTCCTGGGCTCAGGCAGTCAGTCCTCCTGCCTCTGTCTCCTGAGTAGCTGGGGAAGTTTCAAAACTGTCATTGCAGACCAGGCACGGGAGCTCATGCCTGTAATCCCTGCATTTCCGGAGGGGGAGACGAGAGGTTTGCCTGAGCCCAAGGGTTTGAGACCAGCCTGAGCAACATGGTGAGGCCTCATCTCTACAATAAATAAAGAAAAAATTAGCCAGGCATGGTGGCACACGCCTGTAGTTCCAGCTACTTGGAAGGCTGAGGCGGAAGGATCATCTGAGCCCAGCAGTTGGAGGCTGCGGTGGCCATGAACGTGCCACTACACTCCAGCCTGGGGGACAGAGGGAGACACCGACTCAAAAAAAAAATCGTCCTTACCCACCGATGTGCCCTGGGGCTGGGAGTGACCAATGCCCTTCCTGGGCTGTAGTCCTGCTGGACAGTGGAGAGGGGGATCAGAGCGTGGTGCTGATGTCCTGGGCTCCCACATCCCTGCCTGATCCGAAAACTTGAGGACACAAATCCGGCAGGGTGGCCAGTCCAGGCCTGGGAAGAAAGAGGGCGGCTGCTGGTCCCTCCACCTCCAGCCGTGGGTTGCGCATGGCTGGAGGGCTGGCTCCAGGCCGGGTAAGGGCCCAGGCCTCGGAGGGGATGGGCAGGCCCCTGCGGCACTGCCCCCACCCCCGCCTTCCCATCGCCCAAACAAGAAAGACCCCCGAGGGAGGTGGGGGTGGCCAGCCCAGCACCTCTTCCTGGCCTCCGAAGGCTCTGTGGCCTCTGGCCTCGGGGCTGCACAACAGACTTCTCTGGTGGCGGCCCTTCGGGCATGCCGCCCAGCGAGGGGGCAGAGAGCGGCCCTCAGAGGAGACAAGTGAGCGGGGCTGGAGGAATTTCCCCAGGAGCCACACAATGTCCCCATTTTTCCCTTCGTCCACCCTCACCCGCCGCCCACCTACCCGCCCCC